CTGATTGATTTTCGTAAATCGTATACACACTGATTTTCATGTTTAAAACATTTCTCATTCTCATCTGAGAAACATCCTCTTGTAGTTTTCTTCAATTGAAAAAGTAGGTCCATTGTATAAATTTTTAGCACCATTATCTAAATTTTATTCATTTTCCATTAGAAAACTGATTAGTTTTGAAAAGCGTTGCCTTTGTCATTCATATTACGACCACATGTTGTCTTAAAACTATTCTATAACTAAATGTATCTTTATATTTTTAGTTAATAAACAGTAGTGAACAATTTTTAGTGTTTCATAATTTCCTTTTTGAATTTTTTTTTTTTTTTTTTTTTTTTTTAATTTTTTTTTTATACACCGATCTCTAGAGTTTGACTCACGGAACTCTAGGGTTCCGTGGAACACGGTTTGGACACTATTTACCTAACCTAACCCTAACTTAGCGTTCATTCTTTGCTGTAAAAACGTTGCTACTCACTGTACTTAACTATTCTTAAAGAACATTTAAGGTTTTTTTCAAACTTAATTAGTTAAAGCTTCCTTATTGAAAGAATTTAATATTCTTAATCCATATCAATTGTTTAGAATGGCAATTGATAGAATCACAGTTCTAATGATTACGATTAAAAATTAGAATTTTCGAAATTCGATAGCATTGAGGAAAAACATAACTTTAAAATGAGTAATAAATTGAGATAACTACAATTATTAAAGTTAGATGATTGTGTTGTGTATTTCGTAATTAATGTTTTGTTTTATTGAATTTATTCCAGTTCCGACAATCAAGCGAAGAAATTTGCGGCGACTACGGCAAGTCTTCAAGAAAGGTGAAAACCGGAAAGCCTGGCCGTATAACCTTCAACATTAAACGTACACATGGCAATGACAAATGATCTTGTAAAGCATTGCATTACGTAGCTCATGAAATTCTGTCTTATATATGTTATAGTTCTAATGACTGTTTTGAATTTTTCTGGTATAAAATAAATTATATAATTATATTTATACCCCTTTAAAAAATAAAAATATTCTCATTAATTCTAAGAATAATACTGCAAGTTGCAACAGCAGTAAACTAAATAGTTTAATAAGCTTTCAATTGATATTAAGTTTAACCAATGTAAATTATTCAGTATAATAATAAGAGGATTATAGAATTACTGTATAAATTATAGTATTAGTAGATTAATGTACATTAGTAAATTATTATAATTATTATATTAGTAATATAAAATTACTTTCACGATTAGTATAGATTAGTACATTTGTATAAATATATTAGTATATTGATATTATAGGATTAATATGTAGGTATTTTAGGATTAGTATAAGGCAGTGGTTTTGAACCTTTTTTGCCCCCGACTCCTTTCCAGATATCCGAAAATTACGTATACATTTATTTAAATTTAGATTATTTTAACGTATTTTATAAATTAAATAAAAGCATAGAAAGATAAGTATAGAAAATGTTGATAATTATCAAAACTTGAATAAAAAGTTTGTTACATTCATGAACTAAAATATTAGGTATGTTGGTATAAACTTTAGAATTCAAAAACCGACAAAGAAAAAAGTCGTAATCGTCATGATTTAAGCGGCTATTTCTGCACACCAGAACGAAATATCACACTACCAGGATATGACTTATGCAGTAATTGAATGTTTCTCGAGTTGTATGACATATGGCACTCTCCTGTTTAAACCACATTTCATTAACATCCATATCTTGTATTCTGGCTACAAAAAACCTGGATTATCGTGTTGCGATAGCGAGCACTATTAACTGTTATTGTCTGTCCAGCCGCATTTCCGAAAAAGAATGGTCCGGTGATAATCCCAGCTCAAAATCTGCCCCAAACAGCGACACGTTGTGGATACATTTGTTTCTCAATCACTCGTAGATTTTAGGTACGTCAGCAATTTTCTCAATTAACTAAGCTATCAAGACGAAAACGAGCCTCATAGCTGAAGATGATTTTGTTTGAGCAATCAACAGCCACTTATATTGTTCTAAGATGCATTCAATGAACTCCCTCTGCTATGCATGGTCATTAGGCTTCAGTTCTTGGGTCAATTGAACTTTATAAGTATGAAGATTCAAATCTTCCGTGAGAATACGCTGCAGAGAGTTTCTAGAAATGTCCAGTCAGGACAAATTAATGTCCCTGGACTCACAGCAAATCTCTCATGCCTAAATGTTTTGTATTGAACGACTTACTGAAGGACAACCAGAATGTTCAAGATCACTAATTGTTCCAATCATCCTTAATTTTTCATTTAATCACTTGACAGTTGATAAAGTTAAATCATTACGCTGACCATATTTTGAAAGAAATTGCACACTGTATCTGCCAGACTTTATTATTTTAAAATATTGCTCGACAATGAAAACAAATTGTTCTTCTATGTACAGCTCCATTTTTTAAAAATCCTAAACTGTCAGCTGTCACACTGTTATTTCCTCGTTGTCAACACCTTAATCGCACAAGTGGCGCAAAATTCAAATCTTCTATGAATTTTGGCACACATTTTATCAATAAATTCTTCATAGGATACCTTGTATTGCCTAGAGAGAATTATTTGCGTCATCAACATGTTTCCATAATTAAAAATCTGTTCTATTTTTCTATCGTTTATTGACTATTTCTTTACAATCCTTTTATTTTTAATGCAATCACACTTCTTTCTTCTATATACTCCACAGCCGGGAGATATAGTTCGGCTGTCACCTATATGGTCTCAAGGCTTACGCCAACGACAGGTGCATTTGACTCTTTGCCTTGATGAATGTCGTGGGCTTTTACTGACCATTGTCAGGCAAGTGAGATTAATAACAACAGTAACAACACCATGAAGCTTGCCTGTTTCAAAATCTGTGTGCGAATAAGAATAGGTTACCTTATTTAATTTATTTATAATTTCTAGTAAATTTGTTAACCTAAGTCTTATGTTTTTAAGCATTTACATATCTTAAATGTCATTTGTTCATTGTTTACCATCAAATATCATTTATGGCCACCATTTTTGTATTGAAAAGAAGAAATAATGCTTTGATAACTATTTGCCATGTAATAAACTATGCTGAAATAAATTGAAATAGTACTAACGCATTTGTAATTTCTTTACAGGCTATATGAATGCAGGATGTATTATCTAACATTCTTACATTTGTTCAAATCATGAAGAATAGTAAAAGAATACAATGATACATACAGGTTTTTAGAACTCTATATTTTTCAATTACAGTTTACCGGGAACATGCTGTTTTCTGAGAGCATTACGATAGTGCAGCTATAGATATTTTTAACGTTTGAAAAGATAATTTTAGAACATTGAGTAGAACTTTTAATTTGAGAGGAAAGACAATACTTGTCAGAACTAGAAATTTCTCACGTCTTTCGCATGATAAACGCTTTTGTAATATAACATAATTAATATGATCGAAAACAGGAAAGATTAATCTACATTTCTAGTGTCAAACAAGAAATTAATTCATTACAAGTAAGATAGAAATTTAAAAAATTATTTTATTAAGAAATTTTATAGTTTCTTGTTATTTAGTTTAAAAATGCTTTAACATAAACTTAACAGTAAACGAAAAAAATCAGTATCATAACAATATAAAGCAAATATTATCCCAAATGCATTATTCCATTCACGAAGATAAACATTTTATAACTTGATAGAGATTGACTGAATCAGTTGGAAATTCAAACATATTAATTGTGAATTCTTATAGCTTTGTATTTCTAACACTGCCAAATAAGCTTGCTATATTCGATAAAAAAATTTAAAGAACTCCTTTAAACAGTAATATCATTTATTTTTAAATTTTAAATGTTTATTGAAATAAAATTAGCAATATATCCTCAGGGAAGAACCTTTTTTAAATTTCTGAAAATATTTTAGAATAAGAATTTTAGTAAATTTAACAAAAATAATCACAATATTTAAATAAATGTAACAATAACCATCATTTATAACATTACTAATGATTAGAATTCAGGTCTTCTGAAATCATACTTTTATAAATATTTATTCTAAAGGTTTTATTGATTTTTTTTTTTTTTTTTTTTTTTTTTTTTTGCTTTTAAAAGAGGGTCTTTGAGGATAATTAGGGGCGCTTTAAAATGTAAACTACAGTTTTTTTAAAGAAATTTACTATGCAGTAAAGGCCACTAAGTATCTTTGGCCATACAGTGTCTCATATTTGGTTTCGACCACTGAAAGTTTTGAAATTTATTTGCATAGATCTTGTGCTATTATAAATATTAAAACGGAGACTTCAAGCTCTTTTCTAATGTATAGTCACGAATTTTGTACACATTAAAAAATATTGGGTGAAATTATATGTAAATAGTAATACCTCTTGTATACTGTAAAATCAGAGGCGATTAAAATATATCGCCGGAAAAATAGAGTTACAGGGGTAAGTTCGTTTAATACTGTGGTAAATGAATAGCTAGCTCAAAGTTAGTAACGTTGGCAAAGAATCACAAATTCGTTAAATTTGTAAGAAATATGAAAAAACTAAATAAAACGTTATCCAAATTCAAAATTTGGGCTTTGAATTGAACATTTTTTGGTGGAGGACTACGCGTAAAAAAATTATGTGGTCCTAAGTGCTGTCATTTTTCCACAGTGCAAGGAACATAACACATACATATATTCATTGGGTTGGCAAGAAAAAATTTTCAGTTTATACAAATCGATAGCGTTATATTCATTTTGTTACTCTTCTGTTAATATTATAGTTACTTTTCTTTTGAGATTTAGCAGCTGACACTTTTAGGTTGCTACTGAAACAAAATATACGTATGTTGTTTGCAACTGTCAATTTATGGTCACTTTTAACATGGGGTACAAAAATAAACATTTCCGACATATTTTACTTTTTTGCTTTCATAAAAGCAAGAAAGCGACTGAGGCTCAGAGAGATTTACGTGGAGTATATGTCAAACCTCATATGTCAAAATTGGCTTAAAAATTTCATTTTGCAGATTTTTCACTTAAAGTTGATCAACGTTCTGGCCGACCTTTTGAAGTTAATGATGATAAAAGCCATATATCTGTGCAAGAAATTGAAAAAGGTTAAATGTATTACACCCAACATTTGAAAATCACATAAGATGTCTTGGTCTCGTTAAGTAGCTCTATATATGGGTTTCGCATGAAATGAAAGCAATTCACTTCGAATCAGTATTTGCGATACGCAATTCAAATATAACGCAGTCACCTTTTTTGTTAATGAATTATGACTGGTGACAAAAAATGGATTGTCTACACTAAGATTAAATGAAAAGGATCATGATGAATCAGCACAAATCATATCGGAAACTATAATGCACTAGAAGAAGATCATGCTGTCAGTTTACTGCGATTACAAATGTTTTGTGTATGAGCTGCTTCTAAGCAACAAAACGAGGAACCCAGATGTTTACTGCCAACAACTTATGAAACTGGAGGAGACAATAAAAGAGAAAAGGCCACAAATTGTAACCGCAAAGGAATCATACTCCACCATGGCAATTCGAAACCTCACACATGTTTAGAGGCACGTATGTAATTATTGGAGCTTGACTGGGACGTGCTGTCGCACTTCCCATTTATTCCCGAACTTGCGCCATGGGATTATTACTTATTTCGAAGTTTACAAAACTTCTTAAATGGTAAAGATTTCAGTAATAATTATGACCTCAAATCACACTTGGTTGAGATTTTTGGAGATAAAGCCAGAATTTCTATGAGCAAGGAATCATGAAAATGCCAGAAAGGAGGCAAAGATAACAGAGTAAAATGAAAATATGTGACTGATTAAAGTGAATTTTTCACAGGAAAAAAACTGAGTTTTATTTCACACTAAAAATGGAATTACTTTCTTTGCAGTCCAGTAGATTCTTCATTATTTATTTATTTATTAAATAACACATTGCGATAACATTTGGTAGAAACAATTTGAAAACTGATTTAGACACGAAAGTGATACCGAGAAAAAGTGAGTTTCGAGACTAACAGCACCTCTGATGCTAATAATAGCATAACTTGTAAACAGTAGCAAAATAATATAAAATATATGAAGCACTACAATTATTTCATAAATATCACACTTATTCATAAATCTTTAATACATAAATCAGTAATTAATAAATCCTGAAATCGCGTATGTAAATGGCTTTAAAGCGTGGAATTCTACTTAATAGCCTTGAAGAATGTTCCCAGAGACCTGTTGCTGATAAGACTGGTATCAGCACACCCGGTCTCTTGATGATCCGTCACACCAGGGAGAAAACGATTTATTACCATGGCAGGGTGAAGACCATCGGGTTGAGAGATTCTTTTCCTTGCTCAGCGCAAACCCATTTCGTTGCTGCCTCCTGTAATCGTTATAAATTATTCGCAGGAGCTCTAAGGAGACCTGGGTTTTCGAAGAGATTAGATGGCTTCTTTAACGTTTCCAAAGGAGGTTGGACTTGGAAGGTTTCAAAACAGCCCCTGGGGATGCGCTTCTCCCGTCGTGCCACAGATCTGGGCAATTTGTTTGGGTAAAACATCTCTTAGAGCAAAAAGAATGAAAAATAAAATGTCAGCTTAGGTAAATGGAGAAAAGCTTAATAGTTCGAAAAGATTTACGAGCATAGGGTTAATAGAGACGAGATCTTGGTGAGCAGTTTAAAACTCATTAAAGTTACCAGGTAAAAACAGTAAGAGCTATTCAAGCAAAGGAGCAAAAAATCTTAACGCACAAATTGTAAGTAAACAGACTTTTGCAATGTATAAGCATTTTAAACCCTCTCTATTCTTTTGATGATATCTTTGATTATATGGTGCAACGTTTAGGATCTTTTCAGCTTTAATTACAAGTTATTTTACATTAAATAACTCTTTGTTTCTTTACAAAAACGTAATAAAGAAGAGAAAATTCTTTGGAATTTCATAGAAAAGGCAACATACTAAAGTTCTAAAATCACCGAGAAGTATATAAATATATTTTTATTTCTTCTTTGAAATTGAGTATTGCTATGGTCTTCCCTGCTTATGATATTTTATGTTTTACTTGAATCTTTTTTTAATGTTATCTTATGTTTTACACAAATGATGCAGTGTCTTTGTTAGATCTATAATGCTGGTAAGCTCTTGTTCTCTAATGGCTCGAATAATGCTTTAAATTAAAATTATCAACCTGTATCCTGTCCGACATTTAACCCTTGTTTTCAATTCTCAGTGATCTATCTCCAATATTATTTTTATTTGTTAAAATTGATGTTAACTTGTCGAACTCCAAAGAGGATCTAATTTTTTTTTTAATTACACATTAATCTTGTTTTGTTTACCCTCATTTTCCAAAACTTTCTTTGTAAACGTAAATATTGATCTGAATTTTTTCTCTTCGTCCTTCTTTTTTCTTCACAGTTTTTTTTATCTTCTCCTTTCTAAATATTATTCACCGGTCCTAGTGTACTAAATTGTGCTCTTTCATTTGGAGCCAGATATCGACGCTGTTACACTTACTACAAATCATGCATTTTGAATTTTGACCATATTTGACCCATTTAAAATTTCAATAGCCATTAATTGACTTTTTGTTAGTTGCCTGGTTCTAATTAATAATTTTCTCGGCATTTCTACAAAGAAGTATGTTTGGTAAGATAAATACTCGTTTTTGTTTCATGATTTAAAGCGGAAGAATAAAAAAGCTATAACTGATTGAGATAAAATAACAGTCCGAACAAGTAATAATGTAGAAGTCAAACAACGGAAATCAGCGTTATATTTGCAAATTTTCACAGGACTAGTTTCGATGGTTTTACCGAATCATCATCCTCAGCTGCCAAAGCACAATTCCCCCCCCCGCTTTGGACGCTGAGGATATTCGTTCGGTAAAAACCATCGAAACTAGTCCTGTAAAAATTTGCAAATATAACACTGATTTTCGTTGTTTGACTTCTAAATTAATATACCTGATTGGTTATGAAGGTAGATTTAAGTAACCTACGCTATCAATGTCAAGTTTATGAGAAACATCCTTCTGGTAGAGCTTAAGGATCAATTTCATGGCCATGAGTGGGTTTTCCGTCACCGTGTCTACACTTTTTTTACTCAAGTCTTTAGAGTAACTAAGTGTTTATTGAAACAGGACACATGACAAATAAGCAGTACCCTCGCGGTATTCGAACTTGGGATCTCTCAATGTTAGCCAGATGAGCTTCCAGTTACATCTTGTAGGCAAGCGATGAAGAAGGAGAAAAATCCCTTAAATTCTCCCCCATTTAAAGTGCAACGTTGGAGGGAGAAACTCAGGCTTCAAATCCAGGTGGTGGTATATTTTATTTTAGGCGTCACTCGTAGAGTTATTAGGAATTTCACTAAGGCAGGGAACATGAAAAATTAGTTATGACCTTGCCAGGAATCGAACTTTAGACCACATGATTCTATATAGATATGCTTCCAATCACATCACGAACGCACGCGTAAGGAAGGTCATAACTCCCTCGCAAGTTAAAAAGTATGTTCGCATTTGTGACATTTGTATGTCTTCTAACTTATGAAAATTTAGGCTATAGAAAAGATTACTTGAATCAAAATGTAATTTCAAGATCTTATTCACAATTTATAGAACAAAAAATATTATTAACCATATTAAACGACGAATAATTTGTAAGCTTCAAATCGCAAATCAAATTCTTCAAATTTAAAATCGCAAGTAACTTGTAAGGTTTATTTTAATAGATACGTTTATGTTAAATTTTTCCTGTACTACTGTGTCTTCCATCGGCCTAAACAGGATTGTAAATTAGGTGGACTTTAAACAGCGAGTGGAAGTGTACATAGTGAAGCTTGACAAAGCGATCAATAACGCTACTTCTATCTAATCCATGCGCTTTTTTAATGACTGTTTACTGCTTTTCACCAGTAATTATGCTAGGAAATTAGCATTTAAACGACGAAGATTAGCATCAATTTTGCAACCCTGTAAACCATAAGTGATGGAATACTTTTCTTTTCATAACGTGGGAATTTTGTATGAATCGTGCATATTTCATTGCTTACTTTTACAAATAAAATCCCTAATCACTAAAAATAATAGAACTACACATTTTAGAAGAAGAATTCTTTTTTGCAGTTAAAAAAAATGGTCAACAGAATTCCGCTTCGTTTGACCTGGATTTCTCCTGATCGTAATTGATTTAATATGGCATTTGCCAATATTATGTTCCATCATAAAACAGTTTATAAGAGGATTGTTTTTCTAAAATGAATTTTCCTTCCCCTTAGTTATATATAATAACTCTCATAGATTTAATTTCAAAATCAAAAAGGAGTAAAACAATTATTTAATTGTAACAGTTAATTAAATAAATATAATATTAATTTATTATTGTATAATTATTGTAACTAATTATTAAAAACTTTATTTTTCCAGTGTGTATTAATGAGCACACATTTAAGGCAAAAGCTATGAAAAAAGATATGTAATAATTATCAGTTATAATACAATTACAATAAGTATCGTATTAGAAATCTTTGTAATGATAGTATAATTATGAAAATTACACAAGAAAGTATAATAGTTAAATAATTATAATAACAATTATTGTGCAGTGATAGTTATATATTGCATTTTATCAGCAAAATTAAATATACTACAAAATTAAATTTTGAAAACGCTCAGATTTTTAGAAATAAATAAATTCATTAATGCACAAAATGCACAATGTAATCAAACTCTTAATTACAAATGATGATCAGCCCATTGTCTTAGATTACTTGCAGTGAAAATCAACAAAGAAGAAATAAGAACGAAAAAATTCCTTTTACATGATTCATGTCCATCCACCCTATTTTATAAATGAATCGGTTCGAATGCCGTAGACGGGTCCGTGCTCATAGCCACGAATGTTGCGGTTGACTTACATTTTAGAAGCCATTATGACTGGAAAACTCTCTATGAAATACAGTTGAAATTTTCCAATAAATAAGTAAAAATGGAATATTTCTTTCTATATATATATATATGTTCAATCATAATAAAAACAATGTTTAAATGTGCGATAAAAATTTTAATGAAGGCTGTAGCAAAATTATTTATAATAAAAT